GTTTAACATCCGAACATCTGAATGTGACACCAGTCAGAGTCAGTGATATCCTTACTGACACTGTAAGTTTAGAAAATACTGCCTAAATCCCACTATACCCGGGCCTTATTAACTTGAACTTCAGAATGCATTTGTTTACAGAACAAAGACTGATTTTGTCCCCTATCTTTGTAGCTTGAGTAAAGGATCACTATTTGGACAATAAGGACAGAGGGAATGATTACAGCAACCAGTAACTCTTTGAATAAACATATTTTCAGCATGTATTATGTTGGACTTATGGGTGCAAATTCCCATAATGCATATATTTTTAACATAAAGTGCGATCAGTTGTTTGATTTAATCATTAGAGTCTTCTCCTACTGTCACAGTACTGAGCTTTGACATCTCTGGCACTCAGTTCAAACATTACAATCAGCCCTTTTCACAGACATTCTGACATGTAAGCACTGTAAGCAAGGGTGTGAGTAATAAAACTTGCAATGGCTGAATTCCATTTAGCTGCTTCAATTTCCAGGTCCCGATATTGTTCACATGGGCCTACTGCATGGCTAGGACACTGATAATGTTATTAGTAACATCTGTACTTTTCTGACTGTGATAAGTCAAAATATCTGTTGAGAATTGAGCACCATTTAGTGACAAATCTTTATTTATTCTCATAAATCTGTATTGCAATAAGTACAGTAAGCTCATATCCTTGATCAGCCACCTACAATATATCTTGTTTCGTTTGCAGCAGGTATCACAAAAGACAGATTATTCCTCACCTTCACTTTGCATACAACCTGCTTATTCAGGGAATTTTCAGCTCTCCTGTTCAACCCTCTCATGGGGAGCATTTGGTGGGCCAGCTTTCCTGAATGTAATATATATTAAAAACCCCATTATTAAGCAGCAAATTCAATTGTGCCAATGTGTTTAGCTGCTGACTCTGCAGGAGAAATGCTGAACAGGAGTTCGATATAAAGTCTTCAACCTCTAGTGAGCTGGTAATTGAAGCGTACAGGTAAAGAAGAAGAGGAAGAAGCTCCAGCTCACATTGAAATCTTTATTTCTATTTATTTTATATCTTTTCAACCGTGCTGGAAGAAAAAAAAATCATCATCTGGCTTAAGGGGAAAAAAGGCATCTGTATTTGTCCGTTCTGCTCAAATCGTTTTTAATCTTCCCAACCTTGATGAAAAGGGATTCTGGCACATGTGCAGGAGGGTAAAAGGAGTAGGTTTATTTACAGCTATGAGTCATCTGCTGTGAAAGAGATGGTATTCTCCAACAACAAAAGCCGCTATGATTGTCACAGTAAAGATCTGTGGCCGGTGGGTAGGATTTGGTCAATATTTTAATTTCTAACATTTACACAATGGGTTAGAACCCCTCTAGTAATAGTACCACGAGTCTGTCCCAGAAGCTGTAGAAATTAGTATTCACCTCAAAAATCAATTACTGCACCACTACCGGAGTTAAGGCAGGGTGAAATTACATTAGGACTTTAGAAGTCGGAAGGCGGTGCACTGACTGAAAGCTTCATCTACATGCATGTGCACAGGCAACACACACATTGACAAATGAATCTAGTCCTGTTGGCATTTCTCTGGGAATCAATTGGTAATCTGCGACGGCCTCCAGAACATCTCAGAAGTATGGCGTTCTCTGATTTGTTTAATTATACAGCTACACGTGTTTGGCAGCACGGACAGTCCAGATTCTCGTCCCCAGACACATCAATCTTAGGTGTGTGAGGGAAAGGGGAGGGCGGGTGGGATGTTCCACTTTACCCAGCGGAGGGTGGATGTTGGGGAAACTATGATGCCATGTCGTGGCAGGGAACCCTACAGACATGTTTGGTCTACAGTTTAAACAGACCTAAATCTGACAACCCAGGACTGCTGTATCTTAGAGTAAAAAATCACTTAACACTTGTACATGAACTGGAGCTTTTTCCCCTGTGAAATACTGTGAATGTTGCCTTAAATTAATTCAATGAATGTGTAAAGTTGTCTCTGGTTTAAACTGGGAGACTTATGCAACTTTCACACATAATAAAGGTTCAGAACTAATTTTGTGAACATAGAAAGACCAAATATACACGTAGTGAGGTTTGCTTCTTTTCAACATCTTTAAACTGCTCGCATCCTGTTATACGAGCTCAGGAGTTTTCATGAGCAATAACAAAGTTATCCATCCATCTATAGACATAGCTGTTTTGTTTGCTGATAATATCACAAATCGCCATAATGCATTTCCTGTTTCTTGCTTTGGGGACACTTGCACATTTGACAAGATTGATTTGTCTGAAGAAAAACAATATAATATCAGATTAGGATATATTTTTCTTCTGAGGGACTGTGTCTTTTAAATATTCTACTCATGCTTGCTTCAACATAAACCAATGTCTTAGATGAGAAACAAGATGAATTGTTTCTGTGCCAAAAAAAGAAAGATGAAATTTGTAAACCATGTAGCTGGATCTCCACCCGGTGGTTTTTATACTCTCTTGCTGCCAAAGCTGTGAGTGCCCATTTCAGCAAACAAGATCCACCTACAGGAACAGATTGTAGTAGAATAAATGCTGCTGAGTCAACACCTGAGCTACGTGGCGTGGGTTGCTCCAATATTCTGAAACATATGGTAACTACAAGTGACTGCAGAATCTGTTGTATCTGCAGTTTAGTGATTTAATTAAAGCCGTCAGAAAAGTAGCTAATTGACCAGGTTTAACATCAGATAACGGTTTTGAGTGCTAACGAATAGAGTATATTTACATCCTTACTCAAGTGCTGAACGTAAGAACTTATTTCACTATGTTACCTTTTTAGAGGCGAATATTGTACCATTTACTCCCCCACAGTTAACTTAAGTCACTAATTACTAGATAATACAATAATACAAAATACAGTCAACAAGTGAATGTATTATTATAAGTTACAAAATGATAAGATAAAAATGTATTTCAAATTAGCCCCACCTTTCCAACTGCAACATTAAAGTCATGTACACATTAATGCATCAATAATTATAAGTCATATATATATATTACTGTGAAATGGACATTCTGCGCAGAGTAATTCTACACTGTGGAATTGCAACTTTTACTTAAGTAGAAGATCTGAGTACTTCTTCCACCAGTACCCAAAAAAGAAGTGTCAAAGCTTTGTGAACTGCCACCAGGGGGCATCTAAAATACTAATCTTAAATTAGCATTCTCAATCTCCAGCAAGTATAAAGTATTTAACAGTAAATTAAAAAAACAGTAGCCTACACAGACATTATACAGTAACCTGCTTTAAAGCCAAGACTTGAATTTGAAAAAATTTTTTGTCACAAACACAAAACAATATTAATGCCTGACAAATGGGCAAAGGTCGCATCCTACATGAAATTAATCTCATTTTAAATGAGAAGCATGTTTCAATGTAAACGTCCATTAATCACCATTGAGAATGAGGGATAAAATTACCCTGCTTAATGTACTGCAGCTAATGAAATAACCAGAGGAGGATCAATTCATCTCAAGCCCTCTGAACTACACCAAATCTTTTGCAGTCAGTATTATATTACCGCCCATTAATGATCCAATGCAGAGCTTTGTTATAATTAAAAGTTAACCACTGTGTCCTTTTTTGTACCATCTCATACATTTGTCATGTTTTTCAGTGATTAAAATAGACCATGAGAATATGTTGCTTCAAGGTGTAATTGAACTCAAAACAAAAGATTTGTTACCATAATGGTCAGTGTTAGTATCATCTAAAGTGAATACTCATATATCATATAATATGCTATTCTGCATCATGCTTAATTTTCATCAAGTGTCCATAAGAAACTACCACTGACTCTAAATGACATTTAAAATTTTAATTTCTTTAGCTTTTCTGCTTTCTCCACCTTTGGGTAATGTTATTGATAAAAAAAAAGTCCAGGTAGGGAAGAAAAATTTACGTCAAAGAGCAGGAAATGGAAAGAAGCTTAACTTCAGTTCCCCGAAAACCACCAGTAGTGATGATTTCAAGATTATGTGGCTTTTGAGAAGCCGAGCACAGACTGTTAGGATGACATCCTCTCTCATATTGCTATCTAGCAGATGATTTAGCTTTGGTTCTTAATAGCAAAGGGCCTAGCCAGATGTATTACCTTTTATTGCTATTTATAGCCAAGCTAGATTGGGTGAGCAATTTCTTTTGATATCTTCCATAAATATTTATTGTCTGAAAAGTCACATAGCGCTTCAACTATTCTATTATAAGAGATGGAACAAAACAGAGATTTAGGGCAGTCAGAATATTCTGGAAAGCAGTATACTTTCGATTAATAGCCACTTTCCTTTAATGGGGTGGCAGAGCTATTTAATTTCTTCTGCTACATAAAGTATATAGAAGACTAAGTAGTATTGACAAAAACAAAAGGGGAAATCATATTCTATAATTGACCTTGGAAGACAATGTGTTTGTGCAGACATTAGCCTACACTGCTTTGTGCATGGATGCATTCCGGTTTGTACTTAAATTGTATTACTATAATTACATTATAATTGCTGAAAACATTGTTGGAAGCTCATGATTCACATTTTGTAAACCAGCAGCTTCCACTCCTCTAAACATGCAGTATCTAATGAACCTGCCACAGTAGCCTTTGCTGCTTCATAATTGCTTCCTTCCTGATTCAAGGCTATGCTGAGGCGACCAAGATATAGGCTCAAGTGCCTTGCAAAGTATTACCAGATAAGGAAGGAAGACAGCAGCATTAGTAAGAAATGGAAGAGGCCTAGAGATAAAGTGAAAGTGCCTGAGAGAAAGTAAAGAAACCAGACGAGCCTGTTTGTTCTTTTTTCTTGGCTGCAGTGTTGTTGTGCTTCAAAAAAGTAATACTCTAGAAGTCACATGCATTCACTGCAGCAGTTGAAGAAGTTGCAATTAACACATTTTTTTCTCTTAGTTAATTTTTCTTATAACACACAATACAGTCATGAACAGACAACAGTGCAAAATATGACACAATACTTAAAATTCTGTACGTTTTATTAAAACATGTGCTTATAAAACAGTTAATCAAATAAAAAAAAGTTCACTTCACATAATGTATTACTTATAGAAAACATACATTACATACATACAGTATCAAAAAATACACAGTCAGGAACATTAGTGCAGTAGTAACAAACGTCATCAACAGCATATAAATACAGTAAAAATGTGTTTATGTGCCACTAAAAGTCTTCCAGTAACAACATTAAAGACCTGGTCAACAATTTGGTACAAAGTCGGTTTAACAAATGTTAGTATCCATTAAGGAGCTTGTCCAAGTGAGAGTCCCTGAGAACACCTGTCAAATGTCTACGCCTGCAAGAAAGTGATGTGATTATTTCTATTCCGTCTCATGCGACGACCTTTTCCTTGGCTTGTGTGTTTTTTCCCTCCTGGAACAAAAAAAGTGTTTAACAGCTGATTAGATATGATAGTCTATAATTCTAATGCATATTTACTTTCTATAATTAAGCAAATAGAAGTTTCTAGAGCCAGATTTTCCTTCATTTTCTCTCAGTTATAATATAATGTTTTGTTGCAGATGAATAGTTTGGAGGACATCAAGCCCCCCGAGTAAATGATAATGGGTTCCTCAGATTCCAAGCAATTTTTAAGCCTGTTAAGAAAATCAGCTGAACATTATCCTTTAACTTCCTGAATTATATCCAAATGCAAACTGACAAGTGGCTTTAACTGGCAATACAAGTCATTACTGAATTAAGGAATCTGCAAAATCTCCTCAAATTATCATCTTTAGTTACAGTCTTCATTGTGGACACTTTAACCACAGGAATTCCCCGCTCACACACCTCTAACACACACGTCCATGCAGCTCTGCCTAGAGACGAAGTTGTTGCTGCTTCCTCCGCAACCTGAGTAGATGAACTCCTCACACATCTTGGTGGCTTTGTTGTAGTAATACCGAGGAATGGAGGCTGAACATTTCCCTTTGTCCAAAGGGTCCAGGCAGAGCACAGGAACAGCTGTAAAATATGACACAATGCACAATAAGCATTCTTTCTCTTTTCTAAACAATAAAAATTCAAACTTTTGGAATCAAATCGGGTCCAATATTCTGGCATTTGGCAATACTATTGCATTGTAGTCCACACATGCAGAGCTGCCGGTCAGCATCACTTCAGGACCAGTGGTGCCCCCGGAAATTCAGTCTTCTTTGTTTTACATTGATTTCATATACATTAAATTACTTTTAAATAAATATAGGCCTTACATTGATTTAAATAAATAGCACCTTATGTAAAATATCACATAGCAGTATATTATGCATACAGTACTCAGATGCATATATTGCTTGGCAGTGTCCCTGTGCAGGATTACTCAGTGGCAGCACAGTGTAAATGAGTTTATACTAACTTTTTCGTGGACTGCAGTACTCCATGCAAGAGGTGAAGTCTCGGAAGCGATTCGAATTGCCCTCGCAGCCGCCGTAGAAAAAGGACTCACACTGCATGGTGGTCATGTTGAAGAAGTAGCGGCGAAAGAGAGCCCGACACGGTCCCTCATCTTTATGAAACCTGCAGACTTGGGGAATCTCTGCGGAGAGGAGGGACACAATGTAAGGCTGGGAATAGAGGAACATCCTAAGGTGTTTATGCACCTCATGCACAAAAAGAACAAACTTTAAAAAGTCTACCATGACATTTATGTTTTAGTAGGCTATAGTTAGTTTTCAGTATAAAATACAAGAGTAAAAAAAACACTACTCATTTAACTTTAAGTGGGCAAGGTCACCATCATCTTAAGTGTATGCTCATCACACTGAGAACTTACTTGGGATTCTGAAGCATGTTTTCTGGCACTCCTGATAACTCTTGAAGTTATTGGCGTTTCCTTGGCACCCTCCATAATAGAAAATCTCGCACTTTTGGGTCACAGTGTTGTAATAATAGCGCTCGATTTCTCCCCTGCAAGGTCCCTCATCCAATTGAAGCAGGCACACGCCTGCAAGCAGAAAAGACACTGTTAGAAAAACACGAAATCACCATGAGGGGGTATTGAAGCTTTAATCATTGCTCCTGAACACCAAACACCATCTATAATGCCGACATATCTTACCATTACGCGACAACGCCAAAACGTCGTAGAACGAGGAAAGAAGCGTAAACAGCGCCAATATGCAAAACTCCATAGTGAAACTTTAGCTCCAAAGTCTTTGTCGGTTTGCCGACCATCCAAACCACATCCAGTTTTATAGCTGAAGCGAGTGATTCTCTGGGGAAGTGTAGGGGCGGGGAGTTACTGACTCATTTTCATCATAGTACAGTGGAATTAGATCAGAGTGGTGATGAATTTATTATTGACATCAGAGAGAGGTTGTCTTTACGCTGTTGTATTGCGTAAAGGACTGTAAATGTAGTGACTAAGGTCATATTCAACCTAACTATGATAACACAAGAGAGAGGGTCAAAGGAATAAGACATTGTTTTTTTAATGATGATGATGATGATGATGATGTACAGTAATCCACTGATCCCACAGCCTCATATTATTCCAGGGACAAAATTCTTTCTTAGTCCCGCCCCAACACACACACACACACACACACACACACTCACTTTCACTCAGCCTACATTTTCAGCCTTGCGAACTGTTATCTTTTGTTTTGCTTAATGATTACAGCCACCTCCAACATTCTTTCAAGAAAACAGTAATGTCTTGCTCCAGTAAACGCCCAAGGTCTCCATTCCTTACTTGTAAGCAGCATTATTATACTTCAGTAGAAATGCACAACAAAACATAACTTTTTGGTTGTATAATTCTACCCCACTGTTTTTTTCCATCTATTGCTAAACATATTACTGGAAAACTGCCGTGCAGTCATGTTTAGAACAATGATGTGTCTCCACCTTGACAGGTGGAGGCTAAATACAGATTAGCCGTCTTATCAAAGTGACCTGATACATGAGGCACCACCCCTTAACCCATTTGTGAATATGAGAAATAGTAGAGTCAAAATACAGCACAAATCCAAAATTTAATCTGCAATATACAGTAAATACAGCTCCTTGTTTTACGTATAATAAGAACCCAAACAGACACCTGTGTGATTCATTGTTCTGTTTGATACATACTTCAGATACTGGTGTGATCATACAGAAGGGCCCTGTTCTAATAAGATTAGTGGATTAGGATTGTTTATGCAGATTACTTTATAACCCAGATTGAGGGTGATGAGAGGGATTCTTCAGCAGGACCTCGAGGGTGAAGGACTGCTACCTGTAAGCATTCGTAAGTACATTTCTAGCTTTTCAATTAATGTTTTACAGTGAGAGTTTGTTCAGGATGATTTTCTGTCAAATGTCGTTCAACATGGTTGAACTATTGATATATACATCCCTTTTTGACAGAAAATGCCGGTCATAAATGTGGACGACCTGACAGACAAGGACAAGGCTGTAATGGAAGTAAACCAACTTAAAATTGAAGTGAAACTTGAGAGGTGGTTGGTAAGTTGTTTTTGCACAGAGGCAATAAATAGGCCAGTGCCTTTATTGTTTTTAAACACAGTGAATAAAGTAGTTCCCAGAGTTTTATCTATGACAAGCAATTTGTCAACCTGTTTGAATGTAATTATACAAAGTGACATTAATTTGACCAGGAAGGGCATTTAAAACTGAAATAAATTGCTGGATAGGACTGCCTCAACACCTTTTGCCTTCTCACTTTAGACATCTAAATGCTGTGAGGAAATCAAGGAGTACATTCAAGCCGGTATGGAGGAGGACATCCTCTTCAAAGGCATTGCAGAGGATAAGAACCCCTTCAAGGAGAAAGGTGGCTGTGTCATCTGCTAGACTGGACCTGAGGAGCTTTTCGTATGTCAGATTAGCACCCAAGGACATTCTCCCCCTCCCCTCATAAAATGGATTTGCAGTCTGAGAAGACTAGATGGACATAATAAAGAAATCATTTGTAAAACCTCACAAGTTCCAGTGTAAATGATTCCCCATATTGGTCAGATTTGTAGCCTTATAATTTTACCCTTTGAAAGGATGTAATAAAAAATGTGTATTTGGAAAGGGTTATATAATGCTTCTCTCTCATGGTGCATAGTCTGAGCAAATGGGCCCATGTGTTGTCTCATACACAGAAGCAACTGTCATTAAATGTGCTTGTTTATAACTCAGCCTGTCTCCATCATTCATTGTGGAAAGGTTTCATGAGAAACAGATACATCTTCAGAGCCTAACTCAGTTTGCATACATTTAAAGTTTACTCAACTTTTTCTCATACATTTTTATGAGATCATTAACATTTTGTGGCATACATCATGGCGAAATACCAAAGTGTGTTTGCCAGTTTTAGCTCTTCTTTATGAAAACCAAGTAGCAGACAATCCTTATGATGAATGAATATATCATAGGGAAATTAATGGTATGCGGTAGATGTCTAAAATAGAAGAAAAGGTACATTAAATGTTCAGTAAATGAGCTAAAACATGCTAATCTTAGGGAACCTTAAAACGAAGACCGTCTATTTGTGACCCATTGTCACATACTGCATGTGTCAGGACTTCCCAAGAGTGATTACATCTACTTCAGAGGTCTGAAAAGGTAAAACGATCCAGAATTTCCCAAGAAATCCGTCACGAGTAGAAAGAAATCCCAATTCTTTGACGCTCCAGATTTATCTAGTGACCCCTGAAGGGCACTGGCCCTTAAACTGCTTTAATAGCCTGAATATAATACTGAAAGTGGTGAAAGCTTTTTTTTTTTGATAACCAAACAAACAGAAGATTTGTTTGGTGGTACTTCCCCAACTGGAACTTGACTGAAAGTGAAAACACGAGGCTACTAACATTTAAAGTTTCCACTGGGTTAATGTTTAATCCTACAGTCTATGGTTGTATCCCGGGAGAAACTCATCCTGCTTCTCCCTGTGGGTTACTGTTACGCTCACACCATGCGCATGCGCACACGAGCGGTTGATATTGTCAACAGAGATGGCGCTGCGCGGAAGATGTCTGCGTTTCAACCAGCTACTCAGCAGCCGTCATTTCTCCAAATTCACCTCATGTGTTGGTGTCCGGTCGTTGTCTGAAAATGTGTCATCCAAACCCGTAACGTCCAATGTCCCAGAAACCACGGGTGACCATTTAATCTACACACAAGAGCACTTTGCATTAAAGGAATCTCTCAGAAAGGTATGCGGACACTGCTAGCATTATATAGCAAGCTCTGATGTTGCAACGAAAACAAGGCTACATTTAGCTTTGTGTAGCTGGTGACAGTTATATATATTAATACCCATGTGTGTTGCGAGAAAGCAGCAGTATTATTCCGCTTTAAGTAACAGTAAGAGGCAGCGGAGGGGCAGTATAGTGAAAGTGGGTGAGAGGTCACTGTGCTAGCTTGTTAGTTCCCTTCGTTGTAGCTGCATGTGTCTGTTTTCATTCTTGAACTGACCGTGCAGTGTGCACTAGGTTAAAGGAAACCGGTGAGTAAGGATAGTAAGGCAGGCTGAGACTACACTGATTTACAGTTGCAACCACAGACTCTGGCTTTGTGTGTTGTCGTCCTACACCTCCACATCCCACACATTGATTCATATCAGCCCTGCTCTCTCCAACGTCTGCACCATCGCTCTTATTATCCAAGGCTATGGTTTCCTTTTTAACATCTGGTTTTTACATGCCAGGAATCATTGTGTGACTGACAACATATGTTAATTATTTTTTTTTGTTGAGAAATGAATATTCACAAGCTGTGGTCAGGCTTGCAGTTGGATGGAAATTGAACACCCTCTTGACACAGTGCTGTCATGATATAATCACAATGATAGAAATGGAGAGAGGTCACCTGGCTGCAACAAGAACACAGCTATTTTTAGATGAAGTATGTGTATGCTCTGTTGCTTTGTACAGATTGTATGTGTGTCAGAGACGATGTTAGCTAGACAGTATTTGCACACTTCAGAGGACAGTGTTGAGTAAGGGATGATGACCCCGTAGACTTTCCTACACTCTTACTGCATATTAGGTCAGTTCACGTAACTTGCGGAAAAGTTTCTGATACATACCAGAGGGTTTGCTAAACATTGACGGTGGCTGGACAATCGAGCCGGGGGGGGGTCATGGCATTCAAATGAAACTGCCTGTGAAGCCAGTGGGGCATGCCAATGTAGTTCAACCAAAGCAGATACGATGTTTGTAGAAAAAAATATTTAGTCCTGAATCATTTGTTACGTCTCCGTTATCTAGAAGCCAAAGATCTTTAGTTGCATCCTTGAGAAGTGTATTCTGGCTGTTCATTTTTGGCAGCCAGATTGTGTGATATGGAAAAGTGGAAAGTGAGTCTCATTTTCTGTTGTGCAGTATATACTGTAGGGATTTAAAAATATCAATATTCTGGTGTACAGATGATCAAAAATTGTAATGGTTGCTTAATTATAATGTGTTCAAATTAGTTTGCCAACTTTGTCTCAAAAGCGTGGAAGAGAAGGCAAGATGGACTGTTTAATTAGTATTTATTCCTTACTTCCCCAGTTGTAAATGTTTTTGTGAGTGATTTGTACATTGCGTTAAACAAGCTACTATTTGCTCTTTGTTCGAGTAACGGTAGGTTTCTGTTATACATTAGGTGAGGGTTATGGACATGAGCAGGCATAAGATTAAAAGCCTTACATTCATTGCCTATTTTCCCTAGGACAATAAACATAGCACCTTAATTAATTTTCAGAAATGTTTTCTTATACTTAAAGTCAGTCTGCTTGCCGGCTATACAGTTAGAGATTAGATGTTTAAAAGTTAAATATTTGCAGCTGCAAATTATGGTAGTGCAAAAAATTAAATGAAGAATTAGTAAGCAGCATGACTCATTTTAGATGTATTATTAGTAGCCAGACATTGGAGACAGAGGCTGCAAAAATACAGCAAGTATTTAATTTAAGGCAGAGAGCAAAGATGTTGCGGTAAATGGAGGGAAGCTTGTTGTGTGACTAAACCTTCAAAAGGATTCCAGGAGGTTGAAAATAAACATGTACTGGGAATAATGGGAAGGATGAAAATGTGACAAGGAAATGCAGAACAATATGTTGGCAGTGCAGGAAAGGGAACTTGAGGCAACATGGTTTATTAAAAGAATACACTGTAGGGTAGTGTGTGTTTATAAATGGTTTAAAAATGGGGTTATAGGAAATCCTGTAGTGACTCCTCAAGGTCACGTTTGCTAAATAGTGCCGATGTTTCCACTACAAATCTTCTGTTAGTGGGTGGGGACGGCGTATGGCCATGTTGGACTGTTGTCAATGTAGCTGTGTGTGTAGTAAATTGGTGTTCATGTGGTAATTTATAGAAGAGACAAACTTCCCTTGCTAAGATATTAGTCAGACTTAGCCAGTCTCCCACATGTACAAACCAATAAACCATCCAAGGCTAGTGTGTCAACTGGGAAGTCATTAATGGAGACAAAAACCTGAAAGAGATTTCCCTTGCACTTCTAGGAAGAGGCTACTCATATGCAGCTTCCCATGCTTTTAGACTGGGATTTCCCTGCACACTACAAAGCCATTGTTGGCAGTTTCACACTGTTGGCCAGTTATGTGACAAATTACCTTTTTGTACCTCCAATCGGTGAAATTGTTTGGTGTTTAAAATCATGTGATAGTCGCCTGAAAAAGTTTATTTTTTGCAAATATCTTTGACTCGAAAGGACCATCAGCAAGCCGCTCTTCAGCATCAGCTGATTTCTTTAATTAGTTGGCTTCTGGTTTGCCAACCACTTTAGATGCAGTATTTATCAATGGTAAAGTGGGATAAATGATCAGTCTCACAATATATCATCATAAAGAGACTCTGAGGCATAGCTGTTTACTGATTTCTGGTAGATCAACCCTTTGCTAATTTGTGGCTGTTGTCCTGTTGCTGTGAGTTAAGCTAAGTTAACACACTTCAACACAACCCTTTGAGTTCGACAGAGAATGTGTCTTGGGTGCCAAGGGAAAAGCACAGACACTCCAGACTGGACATTTTGTAAGACTTGATAATGCAATGTTCTTGACCCTGTCTTACTGCTTCACAGTTTGGTGATGTGAAATTGTTTGGCCACACAAATAGTCCATAATAACCTTTGTGAAGACATGTAGGATCATTCCCTGATGACCTTTCCGTTTCCCGTTCCAGCAGCTAGTTGTCCCTCCCTTTCCCTGTCAGGATTTGAACTTTGAACTTGGATGAGTTTATTGCAGGTTAAAGTGGACCTGCGCCTGTCTTTTTTTACTGCTTGTTCTTGTGTTAGATGTTATATAAGTTGACCTGATTTTCACAAATTCAGACTCAGGCATGATGGGGCACATGGTATCTGTTGAAAGTAGTGTCTGCTTGTCTGCTTTCTCTTTGAACGGTAAAAACATGGTGTCCGTGTTTTCTGTCTGCCTTGTATTCAGATGTTTCTCAGCCAGTACGTTTATCTTGGCCGGTTGGGTGCTTGGCTGGTTTGTGTGTTTTGGAAGGAGAAAATGAATGTGAATCACTTTTTGCAATCATGGAAAAAACCTGTGAATTCTTCTTCAGTACTTACTTTTTTTTCTTTTCTTTTTTTTATTTAGCTGTTTGTGCTCTAACTCTTCTGCAGAGATTTAACGAAAGCTGCATGAAAGAATAATCTAATAAGGTTTATTTTCCTCAATCCACATTATTGCACATGGCTCATTTAACTCCTTTCACTGGCTGAGGCTTGGATGTAATGTTTTCTATTTCCAATAAGTACCTCTTTTGTTCTAATCATTACTTTTGACTAGCTTTACCTACCATTTAGAGCATACTCTACTGAGTAGAGAAACACATTTTGGCCGACAGGTGCTGATCCATCTGTTGGAGGACATTTTACTTTGTAATGCATTCAGCAAGAAATGGACATAAATGTTTATTTCATATATTTCTTTCTAATTGATTTGCTTTAAATGGCAGGAACAGCACTTAATACCAACATTATTTTCAAAATTCTGTTGACATCCTGTGCACTAAAACTTCCTGCTGTGCAAGGTAGAATTGTTGGAAAAAACTGACAACTAAAATACCAAATGAACTTTAACCCACACTATGGATATTTTTTCTACGAAGCAGCTTGAGTTCCCGCAAAAAATAGCACAGTATGGGTGTCTCAATAGATTGGTCATTCATAAGTGCTTCTCCAGCTGTGGACCACTTCCAGGTGCTCTAACTGAGTCACGACATTCCGAAGTCTATTCCAAAGCCACTTTGCAACCCTCTCTTCACTCCCTGCAGACATTTTGGTCATGACTCACAAAACCAGGTACTAGTGATGTAGAGTGATAAAGCACAGTACTTGAGTTTGAATTTGGGAGACAAGCTGATGCTCTCAGTGCTGAAGAATAATATGTAAAATTCAGTGACCAGATCACCAAAATAAGAGTTGTTCTGATATCGATACCAGTATTGAAATTTCCTATGATATTGCCTAAAATTTGATATTGGATACGCACCGACCCAATACCACGTAATCCATTTGCTTATTATATATTCAATCTTTATATTTCCTTCTGATAGAAATGAGCACAAAGCTGGTAGATGTATAGTATAAGCCTGTTATTAAAATCATATACTGTAACAGCCAGTTAACCACCTCCTTTATGGTAAAATGTTATTCCTAAACCACAGCTGCACAGAGTTTTAAAACATTTTTTTATTCCATTCTTAAAACATATAATATAGTCATCCTTCATTTTTAGGCAGCCATGTATCCCAGGCTTTGTGGCTGAATAGATGGATCGGCTGCTAACGCAGAAGGAATGTTATTAGTATGGGTTTCAGTTCCAAGCTTTATTTTCGCATGCTGTTACTTCAGAGGTTTTTGAACCCTGCCAAGAATAAAATGGTGGAGGAAACACAGAGTCATTAAAATATTGGCCGTCGAATGCAAAGATGCCGAATATCAGCACTATATTGGCTACCAACAGTGTCATAAAAGTATCAGTATCATCCCTCAGAAACCCCAAACCCTCAGTGTAATTTGCTCTCTTAAATTGTTTTGGACCACTATACCGCTTTTTGTTACCAACATTGTTGCTGAATTCTGTCCTGGTCTTGTTTTTAGCACAGTTTTTCTGCTCCAAAATGACACGGGTTGGGATTGAGCCCAATCCCCTATCACTGTTTTGTGAGCCAGCAGCTTGTCATATTGTATGTCACTGGCCAAGTCTCAGTTATCAGCAGGGGACTGATAAAATGTACATGTAGGAATAGCATACTGTGCATACTGTCACTGTATTCATCATGTAACATTTTTCCAGCCTGCTTTCTATTCATTGATATGTAATACCTTATCTCGCTGTCTGCTAGAGATAGATTACACAGACTTAAGTCAAGATATGCACCGCACAGCAGGAAGCCCATGTGTGTATAACAATCATTGTATGTGTTTTTTTCACTCATAATGTATATCCTTATGGTGTTAGTTATGAGACAGGAAGTAGAATTGCAGAGCTGTCATTTGTTGTTAGAATCATATCAAGGTTTTTTTTAAAAAGCAAAAACAAATCGGTACATGTTCCCACAGAAACATGCAAACATATGCACAGTTATGAATGCAGTTCACAAAAAAATAGGATAAAGATGATTACTATTAAAAGTACACACATAAACATATCATATCTCTGCCCTGTTGTGTTTGCGCCATAGATCATTGACCAGGAGATCAACCCCTATGTGGATCAGTGGGAGGCAGAAGGGAAGTTTCCAGCCCATAAAATCTTCAAGATCTTAGGAAGTGCCGGCTTTCTAGGTGTCAACAAACCAGTTGGTAAGAGTGTTATTTACTAAGCTCTGAGAGATAAGTTTTCAAAAACCAACGGAAGTACAATATTATATTTCATAAACATACTTTTAGGTGATGCAGTAGCTCTGTGATTAGCCCCTTGCAGCGACTACCTCAGATCCAGTTTATGTAGAGTTTGGCATGAGATAGCCCACAGGAATGACAGTTGGTGTTTGTTTGTCCACATGTATCTTTGTTAAATCGTTAATTGACTACCAGTGTATGCTGGGAAAGGTTCCAGCCCCTGTGCTCCTGAAAAGGAATTTAGAATTGCCTAAATATGATGTGATTTTGTTTTGTAATGAGAGACAACTCCTTTTGAAAAGTGATGAGAGTTTAATTAACCTAGAGTGTGTTTGTGCATTAACTGGAGCATAGCAGTATGAAAAAGGTCTGTTTGATTTAAAGACCCAGAAGCCCTTTTATTTTGAAGGAGGTTTGTTTTCTGTGAGAGGATCTAAGGGGCATAATAAGCCTGCTGGGGAGTGATAATAACCATCACATCAAAGTGCCAAACTCAGGGCTCCTTTCTTGCTGCTGGAAACAAAATCCATTTTGCTTGATTGTGTCTCACTAAGGATGTTAACCAGTTATTACAAGAAAAATTAAGTAGGGTAGTATAACAACTTTGTTTAGACATGTCTGTAAGCAAACTATTAAATCACCTGTATAACCACCTAACAGTAAGAATCATTGTGTTTTTGTTGTCTTAGAATGAGCCATTGTTATCTACAGATGCTGCAGGTCGCCTTCCTTTGCAGCGGCCATATTGAACCGAATGAACAAACCAAAAACTGTCTAGGATAGGACTCTTTGCATTTTTAACGCATTTCACAGCCTCAGTAGTTTCTCCCTCATACTTGGAAAGGGAGGGTATAACAAGTCAGTTGCCATGTGCAACTGCACCGCTGCCATTGAATCTGTAACACTGGTCCTTTAAATGGACAAGTCAAGAGCATAAAAGGCAGTTAAATACCCAAAATGTTTGGCTTGTGTTTGCAGAATATGCATCCATTACATAAAATGGCTCTGGATGTGTTTTGAGGGCATTTTCTGGCACAGACTTTAGTCCATTTGTATTCTTGGGAACTTTAGTTGGTAATCCATACAAATATGACAGCCAATTAATCACCTTTCCTCCAGCCTACATGATGTATGTTTTTGGGACGTACTATCTGTGTTGCCAGTGCAAAAGCTCCCATGATAAATCTGTAGCGTATCTGTGAATTGAAAAGGCCTTGGCACAAGATAAATATTGTTTTAAGACTAGAATTTTTTAATCCAAGAATACACCAGAAATGTAATCACTCTTAATTTAAGGAGTGATTAGAATTTGCCTGAAGTTGTTTCCCGCAACAGACCAAAAACGGAAGAATCCTTCACTGTGTGTGCAATTCGACCATCTCCGCTTTTGGCAGCATTTGGCGCCTCTTTTTCACGGCTGAATGCACTTTCCGTTCATTTTTTTCTTTCTGTTTGACAGCCATACATTACGGTTGGTCTGATTTCGAAGTGTTCCCACTGTGATGATGGGTGCTGTTGTCACAGCAACATCCCACAACAGCTGTCTGCTACAGTATGTCCCATTTCCAGATGTGTACCCAGCTGTATCACTGCTGGGGTGGAGGAGGGAGTGGGAGTTCTGTATAGTACAGGATCACAAAATAGTTGTGGTTGTGATGTGATTCATTCTGAATATGTGAAGGGATTTGTGGGAAGTGTTCAGACAGCAGAGATCTAAAATTTCGCAGTTATTGCGTATTCAGCATAACCCACAGTATTAGATTCATTTCTCCCAATTAATTTACAACCTCTCATGTTTGCCCTCGTCTTGCTGTGACAACATCATGGCGATAAAAACAGCTGGAGTTTCTGCTCTGACCTTTGATGCCGAAAAGAACAAATCTGTGAAGGATAATGTTGGACAGTGAGCTCTGTGAAGAAGGTCTCACCACAGGTCTGTAGGTCAAAGAAGAGGGAGGGCTAGGGAATTAAAATGTGCTGAGCCTTTAGCATTAGTTGACAGGATTAGAGAGGAGGAGCAGCAGAGACACACTGTGTTATCAGGGGGGAGATTATCATGTACAGCTCACGAAGATACTATTTTGTAAAACAGTTGTGAAAAAGAGGGTTAAGTATACCTTTTAAATCAGAAACGTGTAATTGCAGCACAGTATTTAGTCACTAATTGTAGTCTTTTAAACTTAAATTGTAAAACCCTCTTCTAAAAAAGACACTTTTTAGAGAAACATTGCACTGTTCAAAAAGAATTGTTCGGTAATTATACTGTGGAATTCTTGCTGCATGTGGCTTAATATCTGCTATAATATTAGCAATATTACCATGGAAAAGTTTCCATGGTAGTCTACAACTAGAGCTGAAGTGCTGGCTAATGAGGCAGACTCTCAAAGAATTCTGCACTGAGTTAATTGATTTAGAGGCTCGGATTACAGGAATGGGAATAGGGATTTAGGAGTCTGTGGAATGGAGAACTGGTTCATGGGGTGGGAGGGGAGAGGTGGTCACCCTTGATCAGGAAAGAACTCAAGCCAAATGCAATATAACGAGAAGGACAAAGTCGTTTTATATATATAAATAAAGGTACTTCATAATGATCTACCATCTACCTTATTCTGTCTCTATGTTACATAGCCTAAATTTCTGAAAATTCTTGAAGGGGTAAACTACATGGGGCACAAGTGAAATTATCTCAATTTATAGTTAGAATTGGGATAAAATTATGAAATTATTTGTTTATAAAATGAAAGTCTAAAATGCTCAATATAAAAGTAAAAGTTTTTTCAAACATTTAAAAGTATCATATTCTACTTAATTTAAAACAGATCAAAGGGGCCCCTGACCTTTTGGCTTACGCCAACCCTGAACTGCATTATCCCTGTTTTGAATCCGGCAGAGGAAATGTGTCATTCCCATCTCCTCCTCTAATAAAGGCATAAAAATGCCCCTAAAACTTATTTTTTAAATAAAATCTGAGAGTCAGCCCAACCAGTTAGCTCACAAATATGATTCAGACTCATTTTTAATTCCTGTTTTTAGGAATTTAATGACTTAGTGCTCCTCTGTGGGTAACAGGTACTTAGAAACTAGGAAAACAGAGCACTGGAAGCGGACTTGATAGATTTATGCCAGGGTTTCAACCCTGACTGGCAGCAAAGCTAATACTCCTGTTTACGCCATTTGGTGCCATACAGTGTATCCCTTTATTTAATCCACTGACAAGAACACTCAACACTTATTTTCCATGGACAAGGAAAGCATTACAGGAAGTTTTCTCAGGGCGGTCACGTTCAGGGAGAAGACAGGGATGACCCTTGGCTTCCTGCCTGTTTTCCTCTGCTCTGAGAAAGACGTATCCGCATTTTACGCCATGGCAATGGCCTCTTGTCTCCTGCCTGACAGACAGAACCTGGCATCCTGCACTGTTTTCCCTTTAGAACTGAATAATTTTGATGCTAATGTTAAGATGACTAACCCCTTGGAGAAACTTGTGCTTCCAGACTTTTTCCTTTCTCACAATGTCTACTTTAGTAATACTATGATAAATGCATTACAATGGCAAATTTTTCCATTCAGAACCATTACTATCACAGTGACGTTTCAGATTTTATAGTCCATCACATTGTAATGTTGATGCACACGTTTGGGGGGTTGAGTAATAGTGCAGCTACACCAATTTCCATTGTAGTAACTGTCACAGGACATGTCATGCTTTTATCATCAGGCCATTAATGTTGCTGTGCACATCCAATACAGGAAGAGAACATAAAAAAGAAAACTGTATAACTCTCTTCGACATGACCAGTGTCTGCTTGTGCTGCGCCTTTAAATTCTACCCCATCTTTATCCTCAATGTGTCTTTCATGTGGAGCTCCAGCCGATGAGAACCTACACTGAGGAACATCTGGTATTCAGAAGAAACATATGTGTATAGGATTGACATTTGTGACAGATTTCTGTTTGTTTTTGTTCTGCTTGCTTGTTCAACCAGACGGCCTGCTGTTTTGCTTAAAGTAGGATAAACCTCGGTGCTTCCCTTCGTCCACATTACCCACTGCAGGGTTTCCAGTGCTCAGAGACTTATCACTGCACAGCTGCACCTGTTTCCTCTTATTTTTGGCTCCTCTGCTTCCTTGTTTGCTTGTCCCACTATATCTCCCTCTTTCTCTGTCCCCATTTATTTTGCTCTCTTTCTTTTATCCTCCATCTCTGTTTGACAGTCTGCCAGAGTGTGCTTTCTATTATTCGATAACTAGCCTGACAGGTGATATTAAACCACTTTGCTGGAGTTTCAGGCCCCCGTGTGATAAATTCACTGATGATTATTCATTGTCAGTCACAGCTACTATCCATCATCCAGTGGCTGGCATACTGTATTTAGGCATGGGAAAACTGTGCACAGAGCATTTCACAAATGCTCATTCTTGTTACTCTTGGCTGACCGGACATTATCATCAAGAGATTTGTCCTAAATGACTAACTGTCAGGTTACATTGGCTAGACCAGCATGAGATGATGATGTCCATTTTTTTGTTCTACAAAAGGACCATTCATTCTCATATTGTTTTATTTTGAAAGGATTTGGATGTGTTTATGTTGACAAATGACTTGAGAGAAATGCAGTATAAAAACGAGTACTAGCTGGCTAATTCATGAATCCATGAATCATGAATAGCTAAGCACTAAGTAACTATTAATTTCACAATAAAGGCTGCAAGTCATGATGAAAGGCAAAAGACAGGAAAGGAGAAGAGATGGCTCTTTATGAGGATAACTGACAGAAAGTGGTTTTAAACATGCTTTATAATGCGCCATTCAACTCCATTAAGGACCTAAGGTCTTTGCTAATGTCACTGCCAGAATGGACAAAATAGACATCCATTTTTCACTTTTTCAGTAAATGGGTTGTTGAAGAGATCAAAATCAAGTTTGATATACTAAGCAGAACAGATGAGATGACACTGAGATGACAGTGACCTTTATCTGCAGCATGCTGCTGATCTCCCAACAGTGCTTTTTACACATAATTACAGATAGCACAATTAATGATAACATCCTGTAATTAATTTGAGTGCATGCTCCAGTGCCAGCGGATCAGTTCAGAATATTATGTACGTGTACCAGTGTACCAGTGTACCAGTGTATGTGTGTGTGCAGAGACATGCTAGTGATTCTTTTACAGAGATAACAGGAAAGATGGAAGGGAAACAGGGCAGGTGGGTGCAAGGCTAGTTTAAGACAACTACTGTATAAAATAAGGAAAAAAGAATCTATATACAAGAATATAAAAATAAAGTAAAATGTACAGTGAACTGTCGGGCTTCAACTGTCAGCAGTAGTTAAAGGAGTGTGTGTTTTGTCCCGTGCAGAGGATGGAGGCTTGGGTCTTGACTTCAGCTACAGCGTTGCGGTTGCAGAGGAGCTGGGCAACATTCACTGTGGAGGCATCCCCATGGCCATCGGTGTACAGTCTGACATGGCTACTCCTGCACTGGCCAGGTACAATCCCACAAACTGTATGGTTCATGATTCCGCTGATATTTGTGTTAGGTGAAAAGAGTGCAGCTTAGTATTTACCAATGCCCATATTCAGTGTTTTCACAATTCCCTGAAAGCCAACTCCCAATAGTTTGGGTTGGCGTGTTTGTGTAAATGTACAATTTGCCAGAGGCACAAATCTGCTCTTTCATATCAAAGGAACAACTAGTCAGTGACTCAGGCAACAATGTCCGCTTTGGGTTTTTCCATTTTTACACCACCACTAGAGCCACTTGTGTCAGAGCTGGAGTACATTTTAAAACATTCGTCCGACAGGGATGTGTTTCATTTTGAGGTAATAAAGTGTTATTTGCTGCCACCCCTTGCAAAAACTGTCACGCTGTCAGCCTGCAGATAATTACATTGTTTGATGTATGAGTTTAAGTTTTTTACACCAACACCATGTCCAAACTTTGGAAGAAGTTCAGACATTTTCTTCATTATATGGTCCAGATCTGCAGTGATGCCTGTCTCCTTTTTTCACCCATCTTTTCTTAGCTTGTGTTTATTTTAGTTTATTTTTATAGGTCTATCGTGGACAATGATTTTACAGTGAGTCATTGAATTGATTATTAAAAGGCTCTGCAACACCATCTGCCTAGCTGTGGTGCTACTCTGCAAGCGCAGTGACTGCAGAGAATTACCAATTATTGAACTAAGGATTATCTCATGTACAAGTTCTTTAACGTCAGCCAGTTATTATTATATGTATGCGGATATAACTGTGACAAGCCAAAAATATTAGTCCATTGATATATTATCATTGTACGTGTCATGTAAAATCTGAAATTCTAAGTTGATTTACAGTAAAATGTTTCATAGTCCAGGGATTCTTTAACTGTAGCATCATGTTTTTTTGTGGTTGTATTATAGTAACACTAGAAATTACAGTTGGTTGTACAGCCCTTTATCTAAGTTACACTCCCTAGAGGGTATGTGTATTAATATATTTGGTAATTGTTTGACTCACCCAAGTAGGGCCTTGACTTGTTGTGTGATATTCTCCTGCTTTGAAACAGCTGCTGGTGACACAAGACAGAACTCAGTGAAATAGACAGTTGAAGTCTCAGGAGCTTAATTAGGGGATCTACACTAGCCTGCAACGAGTTCTAAGTACTAAGAGAGAAGCAAAAAAAAAGGGGGATATCATGGGAGTTTCAGGATAAGACTCCCTCCTCTGCCCCACTGGAACTGTAATTGCCTCAAACATGGCAGTGTTGTTTTAGTTTCAGTGTTGCCACAGTTGGGCCGCACAGTTAAAGAGTTTCACACAACTTTTAGATTTAGAAAGGATTTGAGACATCTACATTTACAGGAAATCAACAAGGTTTTGGATTCCCCTTAGTGTCAAAGAGTAACTTCTAATTAATACTTACTAATATGTTTTCATTTCTTTGTATGTGTGTGTCTCCAGGTTTGGTTCAGCTGAGCTAAAGAAAGAATTCCTCATTCCCTCTATCATGGGGGACAAAGTGGCCTGTCTCGGAGTTAGTGAAGTCGGAGCCGGCTCTGACGTCTCAAGTATGTCTCTCTTTCATCATCTTCTGGTCATTTATTATCATATAATTTCCTTTTTGGATCCTGAAGGGCCATTTTGAATCCAATAGTGCTGCAAAAATGATTGAGAAGCCAGAAATACAATTCACAGCTGACATTCTCTCATGAGAGAAGGATGTCACACTGCATGCGACACACTGTATATGTGCTTAAGTTCACTGTAATCATCTTCTTTTTTCTGGATTACTATGTATTGTTTGACTTCTGTAGTAATACACCAGCTTCAGACTAAATTCTTAAGTAGTTCTTTGAATATTCATGCACTGACACCTTTCATTTAACCTTCTGTCTTACACTCATGTTCACAATTTTCTCTCCGTCTCGATCAATTTACGAACTCCACCGCATGTCGATTCAGGTATCATGACCAAGGCAGTGAGGAAAGGGGATGAATATGTAATCAGCGGGGGGAAGATGTGGACCACTAACGGTACCCAGGCTGACTGGATGTGTCTCCTCGCAAACACCAGTGATGGGCCCCCACACAGGAACAAATCTCTCATCTGTTTGCCCATGAACTTACCAGGTTAGTTATTAGTCAAATGATTTCCCATGAAGACAGAAGGCCTTTTCTTGGGAAAAAATCATTTAAGCTGAAAATGAATGATGTTTATTTCCTCTCCTTCCCACTGTAGGAGTACACATCGCGCGCAAGATTGATAAACTAGGCATGTGGTCATCAGACACTGCTCAAGTGTTCTTCGATGAAGTCCGCGTGCCCTGCAAGAACGTCATCGGCCAGGAAGGCATGGGATTCACCTATCAGATGCTGCAGTTCCAGGAAGAGAGGCTCTGGGCTGTGGCCAATGGTGAGTGAGCCTTTATTACAGTTTATCTCTCCCTCTCAATAGGCTATGTCCAGACATCATCTCCCCTGGTTTTATTTACTTTACTTTCCTCACATCTGCCTCCTACAGATCTTTCTGTAAATTGGACGTTTCAGTGGATCCTTACCATTCTAAAACATTAGGGGGTTCTGCTCACAGTAGACGTTTGCTTTTTATTTGGACAAACATGTGTGAGTTTTCTTTGGCTTGTGTTAAGAAGAAGTGAAATTGTGCATGCTTTTACTGAAAATGACACTGATGCATTAGTCTCTCTGGCCTGGTAAACTTGTGCATCATACCATAAATCAAAGACACTATTACTGCCATCAAAGAGAAAAGAAAAGGTCACAACTCCCAACCAAAACACAGCAAGTAGTAGTAAGGGCATGTCTCTATCTCTCTATCTTAATGCCTCCCAGTCTTGACATCGATGGACAACATCATTCAGGAGACCATCCAGTACACGCGGCAGAGGAAGATCTTCAAGCAGCCCGTCCTCTACCACCAGACGGTTCACTTCAGGCTGGCTGAGCTGCAGACGGAGGTCGAGCTTCTCCGCTCCCTCCTCCACCGTGCTACAGGTGGGGTAATTTTAGACAGAGACATGACATGACAAAAATATATTAATTCAAAAACATTAATGTTAATGTTAATAGTGTTGGCTGCACATGAATGACTCTGTTCCCTCTTAATGACTCCCATGTTTAGCTCAGAGCAGTACAGTATAGTGGTCATGTGACAGCTGCTAGGGTGTGGTTTTCCCAGCACTTGGGTTATCTGTGCGAATGTGTGTTTATTCCTATAAATAACATTTATTTCCACTATATATGTATACTCACCTTTTTAGATGAAGCTACCTTTTTCTCCAGAAGATAAGATTATTTCACCTCCAGATATTGCATATCCAAAGTACCCTTAAAATCCAGATCACGATTGGCATATTGTACATGTTTGGATTTGCATGTACAATATTTTAGAAAAATCGTACCAAATGGATAAATGCAGCTGTCCTCTGGGCACTTGATACCATAGATAAGACTGATGGCTCAGTAACAAAGGCCACAGTTGACTCAGCTCTGCAAGAATGATTTGAATGCCAAACTAGCCTTGGGTGGAAAATGTGTCTATGTGTAATGCGGCAGGTTGGTTTAAGAAACAAAGAGGGCATAGGGTATTTGATTTTTTAAGCCATATTTCACAAGCATTCAAGAGCTAGGCTTACTTTTCTGTCTTCCCATGTAATTCTATTTGTTGTTACCAATGTTAGTTTATAATTTAAAAAAAAATGGCAAGTGGACAATTTGGGAATGAAGGACACTTTTATATGTAGAGAAGGGGAGCAGGGCTTCAAACTCCACAATTAATGGTCAACTTGGGGTACCAAACTACTGTTGTTGTGTGTACTGGCATAACTTCAAAACCCACAGGTTTGGCCACCTGAAGAACTGACACGTACCCAGCTCTTCTAAAATACAACCCAAGTGCTTTACACTGCAGTGTTTATGGTATTAATATGTGGCTGCATCTGCCAGGCGGGTGGCCAAGGTCTTGTGATTTTCTTGTTGTGTTTATAACCACTCAAGTGGCAAGCAGCCGTGATTGAATTCCTTTGACTGGTAACAGTTGAAGTCCAGCTTGCTTGCCCAGGAATAGATCAAAGCTTTTTGCATCTGTTTGGCACAGGTAGAGAAAAACACACACACACACACACACGCACACACACACTTCTGTACACACTGAAACAGGAAAAATAATGCAACTCAAACATGTTCCTCTGGTGGGTACCTACAATAGAGGCATTGATCAATTTCTTTGGAAAAGGTCTGAATGGGAAAAACCCTGAATCAGAGCCAACCGCAGGTGACTCTGAAACTGAACAACATTTGTTTATCTTTGTTTTCTTCTCTACATTGTTTATAACTCCTTTTACTCTACCAGGGTATTTGTCACTACTTCTGTCCTTTTTTTCCCTGCAGCTTTGTACATTAAAGGCAATGATGTCACCAAGCTGGCATCCATGGCTAAACTCAAGGGGGGGCGCCTGGTCAGGGAAGTGTGTGACAGCTGTCTCCAGTATTGGGGAGGAATGGGCTTCACCAGTGACGTGCTGGTCAGCAGACTTTACAGGTGAGACTTGTAATGACTGGTTTTAAAACTTATTTTTCTGTTTTCCTCATCATTGTATAAACCATTTAGCAGTGGTTTACAATTATAGCATCTCTGTGCACTTTAATCTTGTCCCAACAAAGAATCATCAGAACAATGGCAGCACCAGGCACTAACACAGGTTGCTAGCCAACTATTGTTATATATGCCTGCCAACTACGTGCATCTTTGTGAGGGCGTAACGTTTCTATGGTAACGGCAGTTGGCAGGAGCTTGAAAGAGCTTGGGTTCACTGCTTTCTGCAAGAACGTTAAACATGATTCCTTAATTGGAAAGTTAGAATCTGATTGATTAATGGCTTCTACAGAAGCACAGCATGTGATCAAGTAATAATAATTCTTGAAGATAAAATTAAGGTCAGTCCTCCGCTGTGCAGTGTTGGGCTCAGTGTATAATCAGTGTTTTATTCAGATTCTGTAAATTCTGTAAGCCCTAATTTTACGCTGTGCTGACATCTACTGATGGGGTAAATATTGCAGTTGAATGATGCATTCAGGATGCACAATGTAGCTTTTAGAGAAGAGGAAAAAAATGCTGCAGTTATTTAAGGAAATCCAGCTGATAGTTACAGAAAAAGCTCCAGTTTATATTATCTTTGTCTTTTCCACAGGGATACCAGGTTAATGTCGATTGGTGGGGGCGCTGATGAAGTCATGCTGGGAATCATCTGCAAGTACATGGACACACTACCCAGGAAGTGATGTCACAACACGGCTGATTAGGTGCTAATCACTCAAAACGAATTTCTGAACACAGATCACCTAAGTGCAGTTCTGATATGTTTAAAGTCTTTAGCAAGCTCGACTGATTTGCATTTTGCCTTTGATTGTTGTAATTATACAATATGTGGTCAGAAAGAATAACGAAGGTCCTGTTTTGTTTTTAATGACCTTATAAATGTGAATAACCTATAGCTGAATTTCATTGTGCAATTTGTAATTAACTGATTTAAACATTGATCATCCTTTGAAGACTATTTTTTCTAGAATAGACTAAGCAAAATAATGTGTCACTGACAAATTTATAAAATCATGTAAAATACCTGTTTCAGCACATTCTCTGTGTATAAGCAGGACACACTCGTACTGGTCAATTAGAGCATAAAATTTGTTTATTTACATAAAAAAACATTTTTTACAACAAAGTTTAAACAATAATGAAGAACACTGCTAATATTGTTCTGTACGGATGCCAAATGCTGTAATGTATCCATTCATTCTTCAAAGCAAATACTCTAGATCATTAGTTTCAGGTATCATTCTATAACTTAATTACTTTTAACACAACTTGAGCTGTATTGACAGATTTGCCATTTCATCACTGTTTATCATACAATACACTGCATTAAAGTTTTACGATACATTATTCTACAGTTGTTAACATGTTTAATGTTGTATCTTATCTTCTCAATCCATGTAAATTGGGGTGGATATCAAGTATATACATATACTGGCAGTGTCTACTTCAGATATATACATATACGTGACTCCTACTTCACATTATCATCAATCCTCTCAGATCTGTTTTACTTTTTGGGACTCCATCAAATAGCAGTCAGTTAGGGGTCATTCTAAGAAATATTGTAAGAGACACGTGGTCACCCGTAAAATTGAGACACTTTAAGAAACATCCCCGCCTTTCCTAATCATCATTATGTTGGTGAAGTTTGGAGATGCATCAGCCTGGCACAGACTAGGGAGGAAGTGGAGTTAAAGTCCAGCAGGGTCCTCCTATCACCTCAGCTTGATGAACCAGTACAGGACAAAGAAGACGAAAAGGCAGAAGAGGAGCATGTAGCACAACAGTTTGGTCTGACTGCCTCTGGACAGCTGCTTCACTCTGCCTATGGTGGCGCCAAGCAGGCCGCCTGTTGAGTCAAAGTCTGTGTCCTAGTGTGGGACAGAGGGATAAGAAGTCTAAAGTCCAGACCACGACACAAACATACTTTAACACTGAGATCATGAGAAATGGGACTGTCTTTGACAGTGGTGGGATGTAACCAAATCCATCTACTCAAATACTGCGCTTAGGTACAGTTGTGAGGCACTTTAATGCTTCTAAATACGTTTGTTATAGTAATGACTTTACATATAAATTATATGATCAGTCTCTCAAATATGAGTGATTTGAAAGATTTAACTGCCCAACAGTGTATTGTAGTTTGAAGTAGTTCCCTCTCCACCAGCTGCTTACATGTTTACTGTTCATTAGACTTCAGTACATAAGTCAGATTTTTAGTGTGGGACCACAGTATTGTAATTTTACATGACAACATTTTACCTACTTATGGAAATAATCTGAATACCTTTACAACTATTCATATTGTGTTTGGTAGGTTACAAAAGAAAGTGAACTCACCATATCGTCCAGCATTTTATTTTGGTATTTCACTTCCGTCCCAATCTCGATAGACAGCTGTAAATATCAAGTATCAATATACTGTATACATAAACACAATATAACTACAATACATTATTATTTATAAAAAACACACAGTCAATATGAGAAAAGAGACATGAAAGATATGTACAACATCTAACAGTTATTTACCAAGTGGACAAACAACAACAACTGTATACTATACTATAGCATTCAGCAATAATAAAAACACTAATTCAATATTTCCTTACACTTTTCAAAGCGGTGACTTTAGCCCTCAGTCCCTCCTGCAGGTGTTCATTTTCCTCTTCATACACACTGTACCCGCTGGCTACATAACTGCCAGAGCCTCCTTCACCTTTATGAAACGACAACGACAATTAATCCACCGTTAATTCACTGTTTTAATCCGGTAATATGACGTTAGAGCCTGTAGAGTTGTATTAGAGTTGTATTGGGCCTTAAATACACATCAACGAGCACTCATTCAGATTTGACAACACAGTAGCTATCGTTAGCTACCTAGCAAGCAAGCTAACTATGAGCTTAAACTCCAGATGCTCGTCTGTCTCTTACCCAACCCGGTGCGCCTCATCTTCAACTAACTCTGCCCGCTGGTGAATGCAATGTGCAGGAGGAACTAATTCAGACTAAATGAGAAGGAAATGAACAGTTATCGGCAATCGTGTAACGTTAGCTAATTGTGGGAAGTTTGTGTACGTCAGCAAACGCCACGACATCATACGGTGGCCGAGGAGCTCAATCCCCCTGACGTAATGCGTCAGACATAAAGGCTTTAAAAAGTAGTAACACAGGTGGGAGGTGTGTGTTATTTAAACGATTGACACTACTACTACTACTTACAATAATAATAATAATAATAATAATAATAATATGTTAAATATTACTTCATGTGATTTAAAGTCATACAAATTAACAACATTTGAATTGTGTGCTTGTTTGTCGTGCCTGATATTTCTAATAGTGTGTATGCCTATGAAAAAAGTATTTTAAAAGCCATGTAACTCACCTTGAAATCACAACACATAATAAACATGTGAGGTGTAAAAGCCACTAACACAGACAAACTACACTCATCATCGGCAGATTTCCCATCAGCACCTGTCTTTGACTGTGTCTCATATATATTCTGAACTGACAACTTTTATCTCTGGCTTAAGAGGGGAGTTTAATGTTAATCATTATCAGGCAACAGTAAACACTATACGATCCTTTCCAATTAATGTGTCAATTTCGATAACTTAAAAAGCTTTTCTCTTCGTTCCTTTGCTGTCATGTTTTTTTTATTATCATGGGGTTGTTATTTAACTAGTAAGCTATTCAGTGTCATGGTGAGCTATTATAGATTTTATGTTACAGGAACAATATCACAAGTTGTCAAAAGATGTTTTATTTGCTGTTCTAATGCAAAGGCAAAAGCATCACACAATGTTTTCTGTTTTCTCAGTAAAATACATATTCCATATTTTCCTCATATCAAGAAGAATATCCAAATTCAAATCAAATCATGTAATTATGTTTTTGTGTCATTTTTTAAATTATTATTATTATACGTGTGGGGGTATATCTGATCTACTGTCTGTGCCAAAAAAGCTGAAAATGATGATTATTATTATTATTTTTTGCCAGGCTCATATCTGTTGGTCCCCTTAACACAAAACACAGTCCAAATTATTTCAAACTGTCTACGGTTCGATGCATGATTTACATATAAAAGAACATAATTGCGCTGTAATTAAGAAGAAAAGCACTAATTTTCCTTACCTCCATATTTGAAACACAGTAAGTCCCACAGCGACAGGCATCAACGGGTTAATCTCCTTTTGGTGGGAAAAACATATTATTACAAGAAGAAAATTGCTATAATGTTCCTTCCAGACACAGACAGATTGTTTCCTTTGAACATTTTGAAATGTGACCACCATAAAATGGAGACAAATATCCTTAGTGGATTTAATAACGGGACACATCCATCTGTGCTGTATAGGATAGAAAAGTTTCTCAATATTTCCAGAATCCTAGAGGTGCTGTTTAGCAGTGATTAGCTTTCCTTAAACCCCTCATACATCATCCTTCACCTAGCCTTGTGCCAATATTGCAGGAGACAGCTAATATGATATAAAAGATTAAAATGGCTTTCTTGATGTTAATTTATTCCAATTCAATATCTTATAAATAAATACAACTTTAAGCTCCTACCTACCATAATGCATCTCAATCCAACAGCACTCATCTTTTTATGTATCACCCAAAGGCTTTGCTGTATGCATGACCTTGACATGAGTGTCAAAGAAACAGAGGATATTGATTGAACTGTGCGTGCATCTCAGCCTTTGTGGATCTGAGAGGATTGGGTTTATCAGATGGGTCTTTAGATAGTAGAAAGGCATGTGGACGTTTAGAAACTGGTCTTAATCCTCAATGAAACTCTGTGGATCCAGAACACCCTTGGTGCAACTTTGGCTTCAATGTAGTATGCTGCGTTACAGCCAGCTTGTTTCCATCCATTGAGACATTATGTATAAATTCTACCCTAAGAGTTTTGTTTTGCTGCTTGAAATGTCTGCAGATCTGAATGTTATGTGGTCAATACAATGTGTTATTTTCTGCAGTGAGGACAATTTTATCTGACATTTACCAGACCCGCAATTTGACAAGCTCTCCTGTGAGAGTGGTATCAATCTTCTCATTTAACTTCCCGCAAGAAAGCAAAAAGGCGTATTTCCCAAATTGTCTAGTGATGATTCCTTTAATTAGTATTATCAAGAATCATTCATTTGTATTATCAACTATTAGGAAAAGAAATGGCAGAAAAAAGATATGTGCTTGCTGGAGAAATGTTCAAATAACCTAATAATCTATGATGGATCTGGATAAAAGAGATACTCCCAGAGTCAGTACGCTGCCATTTGGCGAGACAAGACCATAATTAGCTGTAAATGAGAATTGCTCACCTATCTCTGCACTGCACCTCTCACTGGATACTGCTGATGCTTTACAATATCTGGCTCGCCCTGATTAGCATAATTTCTCCAGGGAATGGAGCAATGAATGAGTCAGATGACGAAGGAGGAGAAGTGTAGAGGAATACATGCCAGAGGAAAGATCAAAAGGACGTTGTTGTACTTCCTACTATTAGTCTCAGGAGAAAGGATTTTGATTCCCACACTTAACATTGCTTTGAACCGCAGTTAAAAGAACTCTGCCAGCCCTTTAGCCATGCTCAGATTCACTGCTTGTAATTTGTTATTATATGTGGCTTTGGATGCTGAATAGATGGCTGTGTTGTTCAGAATGGCCCTAAATCCTTTCATTCATCAGTAAATGGGTTTAATAAGATGTGGAGGAGAATTAAACTGTGATATTTGGGTGAGGTGGAAGTAAAATATAGTAGAAATTATTATTAAAGTAGAAATGACTAACACTGAATTCATTATTAAGAAAAATGTCTCAGTTTCATTTTTATTTTAAAATGTCATTTTCCAAAAGTCTGTTTTTATAACATACTGCCTTTATTCCTACTGACATTTTTCATTCAGTTTTTAGTCTCATTTTTTATGACAATGGAGCTGTTACCAGCCTCTGCTCCCTCACCTTACAGCCAGTCACCTGTGTCCTCCCCCCTTTCCCAGCAGGCCAACCACCTGCCTGCTATAGATCCATTTGGCTCCAACAAACCAAAAACTTCTGCAGGCTTTTGCTCCTCACAGAGTTTTATGTTTTTCTTTGAGAATATATACAATCAGATTACAGGAGAGTGCAATACTGTAACTGTGCACTGTTTATTTACAGAAAAACTAGTCGGTTGTTTCAGAATTACTTTGACATTGTTGTAACAACAGTGGCTGACATTGCTTAGTAAGGCTGAGGGCTGAAAGGTCAGAGGGTGGGTACCTGTGACAAATCCACTGTCATGAAAAGAAACACGAGTTAAATTGTGGAACACGTCTTTTACCCTATTTCATTCTAAGTTATAATTAGTTTATTTGTTTCTTTTTTTAATATTTGAGTGAAGTATGAGTAAGCCTGAGGAAAGCATTGTCTTGTGGTACTGCAGCTTCGCTATCATTTGCCAGACTGCAGCAGGGCAAAAAGGCTTTTGCTGGGATAGGTACTGTCTTTTAATATGCTTTGACATTGACATCCAACTGTGATGTCAGAGTGCACTGAACACATCCGACTGTTATGTCACCAAGGACTTCATAAAAAAGAATCTAAAATTAAATAAAAATGAATAATGTTTAGAGTTAGGTTTACAAAATGTTGAATTAAGAGTGTATCAAATTATTCACAATTGAATGGTTAATTTATATAATTTACTTTAATACTTGTGATTACATTGTCATTTTTATTTATTTATTTCTTACTGAAAGCTCATCCAGTCAGACTCAAATATAGGCTCTGAGAAGAGGAATATCATGTGGGTTTTGGGCAGATAACAACAAAGATAACGCCAGATGGCTCTAAGCTGAGGGAAGCTATCCTAACTTTTGAGCAGTATGGTGATCAGAGTCGGATTTACTTTTTTACTATTTCCTGAGATCTGGAAGGCTGGTGGCCACTGGGACCCCAGACAGAGGATCGTGTGTAATAAGGAAATTAGTGATCTGCAGCATCATAAATACCAGACTACCATCACGGCAGAGAACACAGCTCTCTGTTGACTCCTTAAAACTTTGTCAATATTATCTTATGAGCAAATGCAGACATGTGTCTGTATTCATGTGTGAATATATGCATTATACAGTATTTGAAATGTTCCTTTTTCCCCAATTTTTTTTGTCTTATAAAGACATTTCCAGTTAAATCATTGTATAGCTTACATCATATTTGTCATCTTTTTTGCTCTCGCAGGAATGCCACCAACCATTCGTGCAAATCAAGCAAAACTGAAACTGAAAATTGACACTGAGAGAGAGGTTGGGGGAGGAGCAGGGTACAGACGTTCCTTTCTCAAATTCATCTATTTAAAAGCCAGCATCTTAGCTTCATGGCTATTCCATGTAGCTGAATTCCTTTAGGAGATCCCCCGTCATTCCTAATAAATAAGACTATTACTCAAACTAAAATAAGTTGTCACCCTGTTGGATTCTTGCTATTATTCACTCATCTGTGTGTCAGTGTGTTTGCGGGCGAGTGTGTGTGTGTCTGTCGGCGACCTGACGACCCCCCTTGAATTCCCTTTAATGGAGCAAAATACCCCATTTTTAAAAAACCTGAACATCTGAGCTTCTTGTCTTTCTTTCTCTTGTTCAAATTGAGCTTTGATTCATTGGTTGACGCTAACACTGAATCCCTTGACAAAGGAGATGTACCAGCATCTACAATTGAATTGAAATATTGATTCACTTTAGCGTTGTTCACCCCACTGGGAGCTGGACTTGAGTGGCTTTGTTTTCATTCAGATTATGATATACACCAGACTCTTCAGCCCTTTCTAACAGATGACTTTTTATCAATGAATGTCAGTCAAAGTGCTTCTGATTGCAAATTACATTAGTGTCTTCTTATTATCTGACCCTTGATGTAATGTCACCTGACTCCCAGGCTTTGTCTTTTATCCTTCCTCTCTGTCGCTCTCATTCAGACCCTGACACCCATGCACACACACCTCTTGTAGCCAACCCTCTCTTCTCTATCTACACTTAATGCACAGCAAATATGTTATCAGTGTGCTGAATGAACACTGGCTGGGAGAAAGAGTGAAGATACGTGAGTTGTGTGTTTAT